ATGAACAATGACTGCATGAATATTATAACAGTGGTCTGCTAGGTTGAAATGTTCATCTATTTCGAACCTTCCAAAGAGTTTCTTGCTTCCGTTAGAGGTTGAGTCTTGTTTGAATATCATCAGTGTTATTATTAGATTGACTGGTGCCTCAGCTATACTTGTTTCCTTATAACAGTCAGTTAGTTTGGCACATGTTTGACAATACAGTTGATCATCACCTGTTAAAAATTCCATTTTCAGATGATTTAACAATAAGCTTTGGACGCACTGATAATAGTAAGTATTCTGTCGATAGATAGTTATTTATTATACAAGGGAAAAAAGTATTAGATTTTAGCTCGAGGTTGTGTTGTTTCCCGACGCGAAGCGGAGGAAGACAAAAAACCGAGAGCTAAAATCTAATATTTTTCCCGTGTATCATACACAATTTTTTTCTGTGACGGAAAAAATGACGATTTAATATTGAAAAAAACATATTATTACAATAGGGGAAGGTAGGGTAAAGTGGCCATTGTAAGCTTTGAACACATGCCAACTAAATAAATGTCAACCTTTTTACATGTTGTTCATTATTATCTGTGTACTTAATGAGTTTTGATATTATATTGTGTATAGAGTAATATTCTGATAATTTTAGCATAATTTAAGATTGAAGTCGAAATGGGAAATTGATTACTTTACCTATCCTGGTCAGGTAAAATGCCATATACAAATTCATAAATGAGTAAAGTGGCCTACTTCAAATAAAACATCAAAATTATGTTATTTTAATGGAGATTTATTGAAATTTTGCATGGAAAAAATATTTAACTTGAACAACAGTTTTTAACTAAAAAAGTATTGTATTAATTCACAACAATCAACAGTCTTTCATTTTTCTTAATTTAAACATACTTATTCTTACTTATCATAAAGTCCTTATTCACTTATCAACAGCTTCTTCTTAATTATTCATTAATAACAAATATAATCAGCTTTTAGTTACTAATCTATAGAATATAAGTAACCACCTCTTCATTTATATATGTTCATTCATAATCGTACCTAATTGAAAATATTCTTAAGAACAAAATTCACTATGAAAGTTACCATAGTTGTTATCACAACCCGAGCACGCTTAATGTGCCCGTCGGGTACAATTACAACACTATATCCAACCATCTTTATGTTTTGATTCAGACCAAACTTCGAAACAGTAAAAGCATTCAGAGTCATCATCTGTGTCATTATATCGTCGTCATTATATTTATCATTTTTCTTTTTAGCAACGGTCCTGCCACGTTTTTTTATTTCAGTTTTAGGTTTTTTGCCAGATTCAGTTGGGGTTTGTTCAATAGTAGATTTTTTCACTTTCTTTGTAGCTTTCTTTTGTTCTTGCTGTATTGATTCTCCTTATAACTCATTTTTATATGGGCTGCTGGTTAAAACTACCGAACGCCGTCTCTTTCTATTCACATTTCTAGTCTTTGGCAATGCTTTGGGAATCGAAAATATGTGGCAAGGCGATATTGCGAAGGATGTTCTAGGTTGTGGGTTCAAGTAAGGATCAAATGTCGATGGAGTAACTGCAGCTGGTGTTACCTGGGTACTTATATTAACGTCCTGATTCAATGTTTTCCAGTTCTAAAATATGTTGCACCAATTCTTCCTCTTGTTTTGGAATAAAAATTGGACGACGAGGCTCCAGTATTTTTATATTTTCAACGACGTTTGAGAGTTGTTGGAGGAACACTGAAAGTTTTGCTTGCTTTCAAGAATCCTATTTCACCTTTTCGTACAGCTTGTATAGCTTTATCCATTGCCTCTGAAAATAAGTACTAAAGAGGTAAAGTGGCCCACCAGGCCACTTAACCTTACCTATTGGTGGGCTATTTTACCCGATTTAGCATGCGGTGAAAAAAATATACTAAAAATGGAAAATGAGGTTATATTGACCTACTTTGCAGCACAATGGATAGGTCAATTGATCCACCAAATCGATAAAATTGTGCATTGTCTTTCTATGAAACTGATGACATTACTTTTTAACTATGTTCAGATCACTCACATTAGATCAGATACCACAAAACACAATTATTCCACCATAAAATCTGAAGACGAGCACTGACCCGGCCGGTGTTTACGGAGGCAATATGGCGTCAACCGATGAATTATTTCAATATGTCTTAGACCTATAGCTTATATTGGTTCGTCCGGAAACAGAAGGTGGCCACTTTACCTGCCTGGGCCACTTTATCCATCCTTCCCCTATGTTAAAGTCGGAAAATTATCGATGTGAAATTTGAATTTCTAAACAGGTAAGGCTGTTGTACTTATAGCGTTGCTAGGAAACCAATCAATAGAAAATCAAATGTATGTCAATTTAACTCTGTGATTCCTACTGCAAACACTTTGTTGGATGTGTTCTGCTAGTTAGTGTTTTTTCTGAAACGATTTCCATAATAATAAGGTTTACTGTATTAATAATTATCGAAATTTCATATGAAGTCTATTAAATTTGGTATCCCTCTACAAGGAACCCGATCAAAACATAATGATAAAGATTGTCTTATAGGAAAAATTGATAATTATATTGTAGGGTCTGCAAACATCATTTTTTACATAAAAACTCAAATATGTCAAACACGGTTAGACTTGGATATAGCACATTATGCACAAAAAGTATTTAGATTCTGATGTAGAATCGAAAAATGTAATAATATATAGGGTGTTCCATTTAAAATAACTAAGTTGATAGTTACTTTCGGAATAATCGGAAGTGCCGCCATTTTGAAAATATTTTAGCCGAGTTGCCCCCATCGACTTTAGTATGTTGTAAAATTTTCAGATTCTTTATAATTATAGTTTTCTCACAATCGATCTATGCAGTTCCTGGAGATTCACCCCGTATACGTATAGGCGTAGTATCACTTTCAACTCTACCTACTCTGTTTCTACAGTATAATTTTAGTTGCTTTGAGTATGGAAGTCCGCTCACATAATGCTGAACTTAAGTTGTAAATGTAGGTATTAGAATAAGGGGCAACTGCCTTCGTACCCTGTACCCTGCAATTCACGCCATCACGCCTATGGCTGTTGCCTAACTTTATTTTCAAAAAGATCAAAATATAGCTGAATTTCTTGCTGCTTGTCAACGCGATTTGGCTCAATGTGAATTTTCTATCACTTTTAAATGTAAAGACATGTTAATCTTCTATTGTGCAATTCATCGGTGGTTCACGTGACCATTGGCTTCGAGAACAAATTTTGCAGTCTAACGTTACAACTTTCAACGAAATTTTTGCAAAGCTATTTCCCTCGAAGCTTTGAACAATTATGAATACTCACGTCGATCTGACCACAGTCATATCTATTCGAATTCAAATAACCTCAGTCAAATTGAGAGTTTTATAAGTCGTCATAACAATTCGAACCAGAAACCGTTTTAATTCAAGAAAAGGTCACATGCCTAGGAATAAAATCCGAAAAAATCGTCTTCTCATCTTCAGAAATTCAATGCGCCCGGAAATCCTGTTACGAATAGTCTCACATGACGCAACGTTAAAATTCTGATAAATAAATTGAAAGCTGAGAAATAATGAAAACTATACACCCACAGAGCAACGACAATGACTTGCGTAAAATAATACGCTGAATTGTATTTTTGACCAAGACTTCGGAATTGATTTAGTGCCATTTTCCATACAAATTATCATACAACCATCGCAAATTCCTTTTCAAGTGAGAAAGAAAGTCCAGTTTGGATCATTCAATAATAACCGTCATATTTGGGGGTCGAAAAAGAAGAAGAAAAATGGTACAGATCATTATCTAGTTGTATTGGATTCCGGAAGATTGTTGAATTTTTTATAAGGAAAATCAAATTTTTTTATCGACTTTTTTTTGGGTTTGTTTACCTTCCACAATCTGGAAATGTAATGAAGAACTTAATTCACGTGTAGAAAGGGCAAACTTTTTAGTTCGCCCCGATAAGTTACTGCGTAAATTCAGCATTCTTCACGAAGAAAAATGTACTATTTATTAGTAACTTGTTATATGCAATAAATTAGTCTATTAAAGAAAGAGCGAGAAATACAGATACTGAACGTTTCGGAGGTTAATTCAAAATTGGAAAAAATCTAATGAATATTACAATGTTTTCGGCGGTTCGTTTTTTTCTCAAAGCGTCTTCGTAGACGGTAAAAAACGGTGGATAAAAACGAAGTCAAATAGGAAGCAAGAAAAATAGATGACTTTCGATCAGACCAATCATTTTAATTTTCCAGAATTGTGGGGAAAAAGTTGCAGAGATACTGTTGTGATCTAATGTCATAACCTGTATGATCTTGTTATTACAAAATTCATTTTCACTCAATGTCATATGAGCATAACATTTTTTATCACTGAAAATAAAACATAATTTCTCTGAAAATAGAAGTAGGTACTCAATCTACCGCGCCTAACCACAAGAAAACAAAGACAAAAAAATAGAAAAAGAAAATAGAAACGTTTTTAGTTTAATGAACACAGATATTTCCACTTTTCAAACTTCCTCATCTGCAATCCCGTCCACCATGTACTTGCAGCTGAATTTTCTCTTTGAATTTCCAGTCTACCCAATTGGACTGACCTTCTAGTGTATCTCAACTAGTTTCAATTATTTCCAGTTATTAGTTTCACAGTTCTGGGTCCATAACTTGTTTTTATTCATACGGAATGGTTGGAATTCAGAATGATTTCGAAGTCGGAAAATATACTTTAATATTTCAACTTTAAAAAACATAAGAGGTGACGGATTCAACAGTGTTATGATCAAAAATCATAAACTTAGGTATAAACTAAATTCAACAATAATGAATGATTATTGATTAAAAATGAAATTATGGACCATCTATTTAAACATTTATACTAAAACTGTTTTTGTTTTACTACTCTCTTGTTAGTCATGCAAAAAACTGACCAAACTTTTTTAATAATGAGTATGGCTATGAATATTAGTCCAAAAGTTACTGTGAAAATATCCAACATGTAATACTGGTACCAGGAAAGATCTGTGTAGGTAACTCTCAAATGTCTCGCTCCTTTATGCCTAATGACATACTCGACCCAATAGACAGCAGTGTCTATGGGTTTAACTTGTCTGTCATGCATGATTTGAGATCGGGCCTGAACATTTTCACGATATCTGTAACAAACAAATAATAATTGTAATAATAATAATAAAATGAACTTGAGTTTGTACAATTATTTGAATATTTTTATATTTTGCCTTACTCTCTGTCATAGAAAATAATACACAAGGAAAGTTCATGATCATATTTGTCAAAAACTATAGAGTAGAGTATATAGTGACACAATTGAAGTCGGAAACATTTGTTTTTTTTTATTAACACGCTTGCATGAATGAGACATTGGTAGAAATAATGTTAACGATCAAAGAGAACAAAATCCGGGTTAGTGGTCGAATGGAACCTGAACTACGCGCCAACTAAGATGAGTCAGCGCAGAAACGTAAAATCGTTCTGTGTTGAAAGACTTCACCCACTTAAGTAATATTTTGCCAATTTACTAGGTATTGAAGCAAAAGCCATCATCATAGAGAGAGGTATTGACATCAGCTTTCTTCTGGCAGGTAGTGTTTCCCGCCGGCAAATGAGTATGTTGTTGAGTTGTATGTTGTGTGAATTTATGCCGCATGCCGATGATAAAAATGCGAGGTTGTTGTTTTCAGTTACCGGGCTATGCGAGCGACAAGTGCAGCGTTATTCTTCTCTCTCTCAATTTAAAATTTGTTGACATGAAAATCACCGGATCGTAATGAATAACCAGCATTGGCAACATGCTAGCAAGCTACATTTTCACTCATATCTATAATTTTAGAGGTGGGGACGACGCTCACCAAAACGTTTGGTATTACTTCTATATGGTGCTTCAGGTTCCATTTGACCACGGCCTATTAGTCCAGATTTTTTCCTCTTCAATCGTGCTCCGGCCGTGAAAGTCCGTGTTCTTATAGAAATAACTTTTTTGGCTTAATTTCATCAAACCATAACTAATTGATTTTTTTGCTACACATGCTTCAATCAATTTAATTTTTTACTTTTACAAAACTGTTTGATTGGTAATAACCAAAGCCAAATATACCCATTTATTATTTGGAAAGTCATTGGGACAAAAATTGAAATCACAGTCTAAAAACATGAGCACGAATGTTGCAAGGTTTACTTAGTATTACTGAAAAACTGGAAACAATTCGAATAGAATTGATAACTAGTAATATAATTAACGTAATTTATTTTATACATTTTCGGAGCGAATATTTCTTTAGGCTTTACGATGACAGAATAAAGAAATAAATAAGGAGAATAATCGCTCGTAGTTAAGAGTGTAGGCAGACATAGAAATTGAGGGTGTTTATGAAATTTTTCATGACGAATCCTTTTAAACCCACCTTATATTTGAAAAAAAAATTGAATGCTATGTAAAAAGTGAGTTGGGGGCAGAAAGTCGATGGGATTATTAAAAATGAACTGAATATCGGTCAGTGAAATATTACATGAGTTCAATACAGGAAAAATTTAAAAAATACTGTTATTCTGAACATCTCAAGGACTTTCTGTACTAGAATTGACTTCGCAAAATGGATTTCTGTAAACAAAATTGAAAAATATTGAATTTCTCCAGGAAAAATTATGAAAAAAAAAATAATTTTTTGGGTATTACGTATATGTTGAAATTTTTGTACCTATCATCTTTTTTACTTGAGTCGTTTAAATCGTCAATAATGTACAAATTCGTTACCCATATTTCTAGTAGCAAATTTCCGTTCTGTTTGTTTATACCTTAATCATTTAACAAATCATGTCGGGCATAGAAAAGAAAATTGATATTACGTGTAGTGTCAAACTATTATCTACCAGTTTGTGGTTTGTGGATTACTTTACGAAACGAAAACCATCTGAAAAAAGCTAAGAATATATTTTTTTTTACATTGATAATTCAATTTGTAGGCCTCGTTTATGATTACATGTTGCTGACTAATTGGACTAGTCTTCGCTATAACATTTCAAACTGAACTTTTCAGTTTTTCTTTTATTACAATCAGGTAGATTTTCTATTAATACGGAGGAACATATATCTATCTTGTTCTCGTTCCACATGACACCGATATACCCAACACATGGGCTGAAAAGTCTCGCGCCTAAGAAAAAAAACGTTTTTTCTTTGTTCAAAATTAGCTTTATTCATCAACGTTATCTCCATCAAGAGCCACACGATCTTTCCAGGCCTCAGTTTCAGCAATAACCTCTTCATTTATTTCTTTCATTTCTTACCGGTGAGCATTTTTTTGAGGTCTGTGAACAGCCATTAGTCGTTGGAAGCCAAATGTGGCTAATATGGTATATGCGGAATCAATCGAAGTCTATTAGTGTCCGACCGAAACTGGTTTTTACGACCTAAACCGAAAACGAATTTCGGCAACGTCCGAGAATACCTACAGGTATGTTTTGAGGGAAAAATAAAGAAAACGTTATTATAATCGTTCAGTCTTTAATTTTTCATCTTTAAATCACAACGTTATGCAGTCTTCGACATTTTTACTTATTGATAATCAACATAACAAACCCTTACTTAAGAAAAAATATTAATTGAACCTTAAAAATACTTAAAATAGGTGAGGTGTTCATTTGAGTAGGTGTAGATCCTTCTTTTGAATATTATTGATGATTTTTCAAAAATATTAAACATAAAATTACTTATTTAAATTGTTACTTACAATAGGTACTCAGTATTTATGTAATAAAGAAAGTAAATCACAAAGAAAGTCTCGAGTCACGATATGATTAGGCACGTGGATGCGGCAAAATGTCTTCGTCGCTTGTTTGAAATTCAACGCGCCGAACATGACCGATCACAGTGCGGGAACTCCCGAATGCAGTTTCGGTTTCGGTCGTAGTCTCGGCAGGTTTGCCGCCGAAACCGAAACAAAACCGAAACCAGTTTTTTGCCGAAACTTTCGGTCGGACACTAAAGTCTATTTCATGCAATTTTGCCATCATTTTCATTGATTCGTGATAGTGTACATTGTCTTGGTGAAGTAGCACTTTCTTTTTCTTCAAATGGGGTCGTCTTTCCGCAATTTCGGCCTTCAAACGCTCCAATAACGCTATATAATATTCACTGTTGGTGGCATTTCACTTCAAAACATAGTCTATGAATAGCACGCACATCCCAAAATACCGGTTGTGCTTTCGGGCGCTTTGGACGCGGTTCACCAGTTGCTCTCCTCTCAGATAAGGATCGTTTTGATTCCGGAGTGAATTATTGGATCCGTGTTTCATCCATTGTCACAGATCAGTGCAAAATTCCCGGTTTATGATGTTTAAACATGGCCAAATACTACTCAGAATCACCAAGAAGTTCTTGTTTTTGGTCAACAGTGAGCTCGTGCGGCACCCGCTTTGAAAAGAGCTTTCTCATAGGCAAATGTTCATACAATGTAAAGCCAACACGTCAGCTAACTCACGCAACTCCACTTTTTAATCACTCAAAACGATTTTGTGGATTTTTTCAATGTTTTCTGGTGTTACTGCCTCATTTGGACGTCCACTGCGTTCTGATCATCGGTGACCGTACGACCACGTTTGAAATCAGCAAACCAACGTTTAATTGTTGTTTCTAATGGAGCGGAGTCCTTATTTTTCCCATCAAGAAGTAGTATAAAATCAAAACTAGAAATTGTCTTTGATCCATTGTTTTGAAAATAACAAAAGTAGTGTCAACCGTAGCACAATAACTCGCAAACTTATGTGTAGAATATCATGAAATTTCAACAGCTTTTTTTGAAAGTAAGTACTAACTGAAAAAATAGTGAATGCAATAAGACTAACGCTATCTATGTGTTAGGCCCGAGACTTTTCAACCCAGATAGTAAATGATCGACAGAAACTTCGTGGAGCGTCGAAGGAAAGCATGTCATTCCGAAAGCATGCTCGACTGAAATACTTAGCATACGCATGGTCAAAAACTGAACATGGGACCGGAGTTTCAACGAAATGAGCGAATAAATCATTTCGTAGGCAGTCAGGCTGCACTTGGTCACCTAAGAGTGACATCGAGAAAGGTCTGGAAATGTCATGAAGAACTGAAGAAACTAGCGAACAGGAATACTGACCTGGAAGCCAGAACACTCAGCAATTGCAGACAACGAAAAACTGATGAGTACACCAGACATGCATCATCAACTTCACATAGAGACCCTGAGTCGGATGTGGGTGTACTAAAACCTTTGGTAAGTGCCCAGAGGGCTAATAAGAATCATGAAGAATACTGTGAAAATATACCTGGAAGCATACATGGGAAAATCTCATAAAGAGACCAACCGAGAAGAGAACTGGAGAACTGTGGTAGTCTTATAAAATGGATCAGGTTATTCTACGAGATGAGTTCAGTCCAAGAAGAAGGTGATAGACCAAACCTTGAGCTAGTGTCTAAAATTACCATGTGATAAATAAGTAAATTTGTCTTAGTACGAACCGATTCTACACTCAACCTAGGATTTCTCAGGTTACTCTGGCTAGTAATAATTATTTTGAAATGATGAAAATATTTTGGGAATAACGATATACTACGATTACAATCAATAAACTTCTTTGTTATTGTTTGAATATCCTTACTTTGCATTATGAATGATTTCATCTAGGAGTGCAGTCAGTTTCTCTTCAGATATTTCTGATGGTGGTAAAATACGTCCATAACCCAGCTGCTCTGCTAAATTGGCATTGGCTTTCTGATCACCAAATATGGGAATTGCTATTATCGGTACTCCATGGTACACTGCTTCAGAGCTGCTAAGATAACCTCCATGAGTAATGAAAGCTTTCACATTAGGGTGAGCTGAAAATTAAGCCTGTATAAAATAACCGTACGATGACTTGAAAAATAACTTTCAAATGTTCAAGTTACACTTAAACTATAGTGGATTTTTTTATTTTTCAGAAAGTAGGCAAATTTTGGCTTCTAAAACGTACTTCGTAGTTCCTTTTGTATGAGCGATTACAGAAATACATTAAATATAGGCAGTAACTTATCGGGGTGAACTGGAAGTTTGTCTTTCCTATATCTGTATAAAGTTCTCCATTACAATTTTTATTTTTTCAGATTGTAAAAGGTGAGAATTTGTAGAAAGATTCATGAAAAACTGTGATTTTCTTCGTGAAAAATTACTTTAATCGAATACTCACTTCTAAATATATTACGTTTCCAAAAAATAAGTACTGATCAAATACTTCTTCGATAGAAATTGAAAAAAACCAGGTTAGATGTTTTTGTATACTCAAAGAAGCAATTAATATATCAATTTTCTTTACTATTCATGTTGTTGATATCACTTACCCAATATGTCTTGCTGAGGAAGCCATTTCTTCAAAAAAACATTCGAAGGTTGATTGGGCAGAAAATCATCCTCCCATTTCCATAAAACGATTTCCTTTCTTTTTCTGAAAGCTTTAAGGATTTCATTTCTCATTTCAATTGGTAAATTTTTGCTCTTCAAATTGGATCCCATACTGAAATAAATCACACCATTCTTGGCGTTGTCCAGAAGAATCTGAAGATCGGCGGGTAGTTTATTTGGTGGCATAATATGAAAACCACCAATTTCTATCATGTTAGGAACATGTGCTTGCGGCTTTGATAAACTAACATGAGAATTTAAAAACATCAAGGAAATATTACTGATGCTTTCTCTCATATCAATAGATTTTGGTAAATATTTCTGAACAATTTCATTCTGTTTGGGATAGAATATAAAGTTTAAATTAATGTAATTGTTAATTAAATGGAAGGTGTTTTTAAAGCGTTGATAAAAAGACATTTTGAACGGATATCCGAGTGTTATGTCGGGATAAAGAGATGGTAGCGATGGATTTCCTACTACGTGATTATTCCACATGTTAGCTGCAACGGGACTCATCAGGATGAGATGGGCATCAAAATATTTGGCCAGTGTAGTTAGTCCATCAGTGAAAAAATATTCTAATATTACAACATCGAACTTTTCGTTTGACATCAACAAGTTTTGCACTTTCGGATTCTTCATCGTTTCTTCAGTGAGTTGATTTCCCAATAAGTTCGTAGTGAAGAAGATGAAAAATGGGTTCGAAGGATTCTTGAGTCGATTGATATCTTGAAAATGTTCTGAAAATTCAAAATAAAATTATAGCGATTCGGCTTTACTTTTTTCTTTTTGTTTGTTAATACTCTGTTGTTTCAAACGATGAATGTTCCAAATTCTGTATCGTGGGAAATTTTTTTGGCGGCAGAGTGGATAATGTTAATGAAATAATGTTGCAACCCTGATTTCCAAGTAGTTGATTTAAGCTGATTTCGGAACCTACCCCCACCACTTTCAACTTAGAAATGACCTTGACGTAGCCAAGGCGACTTTGGGGGAGTGTTTTGAGTTTGACTTTGAACGACTTCGACCTACGTCACACGACGCAGACAGGATGAATTTGAGTTAGTGTTTTGGGTTTTACTTTGAATAACCTTGAATGACCTTGGATCACGACTCATATTTTCGACAAGGTGACTTTGACTTCGAATGAACTCGAACCCGTTATGCGGCTATCTCAAAGTGCTAAACCTTTGCCACACAACGTAGCCAAGGTGACACTCCATGCCATGCAACTATCTTGGAGTTTTAATGATTTGACCTTGAAAGATATTCAAGTTCGTGGACGAGGTGGCTTCTAGACATTTTGCTTTGACTTTGAACGACTTTCAGCAACATCACATTGTGATTTTGAGCGCTGGATTGATCATGAACACCCAGCTTCTGGTGAAGAAACACCGCCTTTTCTGTAACCGAGTTCTATAAATGTTCGGAGCATTTAAATTTCACATTCAGTTTGAATTACCTAACGTATTCGGATAAATGTTCGGAGCATTTAAGTAAGTGAGTAAGTAAGTGAATTTATTCGATTCAGTTATAAGACAAATACATATTCGTCTTTAACAAAAGAAAAAATGGTCTGAAGTACTGAAGTTGAAGTAAATAATGATCGCAAATCATTAAATCGATATTCATAAAAGAGTTGGTTTTAGTAAATTCCATTTGCTGCAAAATGGGTTTTATTATGAAAACACACGATAAAACACAAAAACATGCTTGAAGGCCTTGGAAATAGCATGCGCAATAGCCTGATACTTTCCATTACATTGTTCCAAAGATGGATTACACATTTCAGAAGGATGCCCGTTAATTTTTGCTTCTGGAAAGAATATTGATGGTCGCTCAAGATGTTGCATTTATTCTTATCCAATTAAGTACTTTAAATATATTGTGCATATAACTGAACATTTCAGACGATGATAAATTGGTTAGGGCTCTCGCGGCCAAGATTTTCAGTGTTACTATCTTCATTCGGGTTTGAAGGCCGTCGTAGTTTGGAACTGCATCCTAACGTTTCGCCAGCACGAGTGGCTGTCTTCTTCAGAGGTTCTTTCATCTTGGTGATTCACCGATGACTGGTGATTTCGAGTTCGTAAGTTGTATTTATGTTGCCTCGGGTAGTCCGCCTCTCTTGTTGATGCGTTGCTATTGGCCAAAGTGTTATTACCTGTTAATGACGTAATTACATTGCGCTGTTGCCACTTCAGCATCTTTTAGTATGTGATTTCAAATCCGGTTAAGCGTTACCGCCGAGATCAACAATGCCATGAAACTGAATACTTCCACAAGTCAAAATAGGGAGGAAACTCAAACGGTTGCACGTGCATTTCTACCGTATATTCCTAGGGTTGCAGACATAATCGGAAAAATTTAAGTGAAGCATAAAATAAAAACAGTGTTCAAGCCTACCAGAAAAATACAACAAAGCCTCAGATCTGCGAAGGAGAAAAGAGCTCCACTATCAGCTGCGAGGGTATATCGTATACCATGCATCTGCGGAAAAGTTTATATCGGTGCCACCAAAAAATTCTGGGTAAAAGGCTGAATGAACATCGGAGAAACTGTAGATTAGCTCAAATACACTCTCACCAGTAGCGGAACACGCGCTTAGTTAAGGAGATCGCACGATACTGTTTCAAGATGTGGAACTATTCGTCCCCGGTAATGGATACTACAGTCGGCTTGTACAGGAAGCCATAGAAATCCATAAACATACGGGAAACTACAACATAAAAGAGGAGGCGGTAACGCTTAACCGGATTTGGAATCCTATATTAAAAGATGCTAAAGTGGCAACACCGCAATGCAATGTTACGTCATTACCAGGTAATAAAACTTCGGCCAATAGCAACGCATCAACAAGACAGTAATACTGAGATTTCCACGGTATTTCAGATTTTAAATACAGGGACATATCGGTTACGGCGGTACCGGCCGGGGACGGCGGCACGTGCCTATAAATAACGCGTCGAAGGCCGCGCTTTGCCCTATACCATTTCATGACTAGTAGCAAACGCAAACGTTTATAAGTGAATTCAGTAACATCATTGCACCGTGCGGACCTGGGGCGGGTCGCTAATTCTCTATAAAATTCAACATCACTGATAATAGTAGAGTAATTGACTTGTAGTTATTCGAAAGATTTTTGCTCTTTTTGGGTATAAGCTAAATTCGGGCGGTCTCAACGAGAAAAAAGTGTTTGTTAAATAGATAGGTTGAATAGTCTACAAACCAGAGAAATATTCAAGTACAATGACAGGTACTTCAAAAGTTCACGGACGCTTTTTTGTTGAGGACAATGAAATCGTAGAACCTAGGATTTAGAATGCAAACTCAGATCCTCTTGAGTCTATTTCACTACTTCAAGTAAAGTAAGATCGATAAGAAGCAATTTTTCCTCTTTCGACACGATTCCTGCGCATATTTGCCCAAAAAAGTTCTCATTTATCGTGATTGATTATTGGAGTTGAGGTGAGTCTCCCGGCATCCAGATGGTGTCAGATTTCTCCACAGGCTGTATACCTGAACTTATTTTTTTATTACACGCTTTATATTAGCTTCACCTGTATGTATGTATTTTTGTTGGTAACTTTCAAGCTCGGTATCTGTATTTGACAGAATTATCGACATTATTGCTTGATCTATTCGCGGGCAGATGACGCTGTACGTAACCTCCTTGATATAATTCGAACTCACTTCACATGTATTTCTTCAATTGGAAAAAGATTTTTTTTATTAATACGCGCGCCTGCTGCCTTATTTGTAACCCTCCTTTGCGCGCCTGCTGCTTTGGGCTTGGTAACTGATTTTCAGGCTCCCTCTCCGGAATCGAAAAATATCAATGGTCATTTTTCTAAACAATATAAGGCTGATTGATTCCAAAGTTTAGATAAAATATAGTTTAAAAAGACTAAAAAACTCGCTTTTATAGCATAAACTAAAAAATGAAAAATAAATATAGTTTAAAAAACTATATTTAGTTTTTAAACTACATTTTTATTTAAAAAAAACTATATATTAGTACAAAAAACTGAAAAACACGCTTTTGAAGAATATCGAACTGAAAAGTTGAAAATATTTTTTTTAAATAATCTTGAAACAATAACGAACGAAAAATACTAGTATTATTATGAC